AAGATTGTTTTACATGACAATCCCAGTTCCCTTCTCCCTCCCATCCTCCCCTACCACCCTCCCAATTAAACCCCTACCTATCACATATCATTTCTTCTATTCTTCCCCTGACTCAACCTTTCTGCTCCCTCATGACCTCTGCATCCTTCCTCTTCTTCCCTTCTCATTCTCATAGCTCCCTCCCCTCTCTTCCCATGCTCTCAATTTGTTCTGGGGATCTTGTTTACTAGTTTCTCTGGCAGTATGGATTGTAGGCTGGTAATCCTTTACTCTATGTCTAAAATCCTCATATGAGTGAGTACATATCATGTTTGTCTTTTTGTGATTGGGTTACCTCACTCAGAATGGTTTCTTCTAGTTCCATCCATTTTCCTGAAAATTTCAAGATTCCATTGTTTTTTCTGCTGAGTAGTACTCCATTGTGTAAATGTACCACATTTTCTCTATCCATTCTTCGGTTAAGGAGCATCTAGGCTGCTTCCAGTTTCTGGCTATTACAAATAGTGCTGCTATGAACATCATTGAACAGATGTCCTTGTTGTATGAATGTGCTTCTTTGGGGTATATGCCTAGGAGTGGAATTGCTGGATCTTGTGGTAGACTGATTCCCATTTTCCTGAGGAGTTGCCATACTGATTTCCACCAGCAGTGGAGAAGTGTTCCCCTTTCTCCACACCCGCTCCAGCATGAACTGTCATTGGTGTTTTTGATTTTGTCACTGCCTCTTTTGTAAGACCTTGATATCATTCATATGGGAGAAGCAAGCTCTCAATGCATCTCTTAAAGGTCTGATCTGCTAGATTTCCAGGGCAGCATCAAGAAACGGAATGTGGAAAGAGACTGGTCTTATGCCAGCAGACGGGACTGTTTATTTCAAACAGCAAAGGACAGACCCAGTGGAAAAGGGTGTCTGCCGAGAGGAAAGTGAATACTTGAAGTTTCTATTGGGGGTTTGGCAACGGAGAAGTTAAATGGAACTTCAGGGTGCTACTTGGCTGCCTGCAATCTCTACTTCTTTATCTTTAGAAACTGCCTTGCCTTGGCTATCAGGATGTGGTTGATAGTGGATGGTGGAGTTAGGTGGTGACAGTGGGAGGGAAGTGGCTGGAATTTCAACATAGGGACAGGGAACTTCAGCAAGCCTTAGGTGAACAGAAAGTTCCTCGGTCTGAGTGGCTTCTGGTACATGTTTTTCAAAGATTGATTATTTTTATTTTATGTGAATCCATGTTTCACCTGCACATATGTCCAAAGATTGATTATTTTTATTTTACGTGAATCCATGTTTCACCTGCACATACATATGTACTACATGAATGACTGGTGCCTGTGGATACCAGAGGGCTTAAGATCTCCTTGGAACTAAGGTTATAAATGTCACAAGCCAATATACAGGTGCTGAGAATGAAACCCACCGGGGAGATGCTGAGAATTGAATCTGTGTCATGTGGAAGAGCAGTCAGTGCTCTAACCCAGCCCTAACTATCTGTGAATTTGGAAGAGGGAGCTCTCCGCACAGTACACCCTTGGGTTTTACTGATGCTTCAGCTCCTCCTCCGTCTCTGTGCTCTCTGCCAGTCTTGTTCCAGACCTCTCTCATGTCACTTCCACAGATTCTTGCTGAGATGGTTTGAATGAGAACGGCCCCCAAAGGCTCATATGTTTGAATGTTTGGCCCCCAGTTGATGGAACTGTGTGGGAAGGATTAGGAAGTGTGCCCTTAATGGAGAAGGTGTGCCACTGGGAGTGGGCTTTGAGGTTTCAAAAAGCCCACACCTGTCTCTGTCTCTGTGTCTCTGTCTCTGTCTCTCCCTCCCTCCCTCCCACTCTTCCTCCCTTCCTGCCTGACTGCCTCCTGCCTATGGATCAGGATGTAAGCTCTCAGCTACTGGTCCAGCACCATACCTGCCAACCCACCCACCTGCTTGCCTGCTGCCACAGTTCTACCAGGATGGTCATGGGCTCATCCCCTGAAACAGTAAGCAAGCCCCCAATTAAATGCCTTCTTGTATAAGTTACTTTGGTCATGGCGTCTCTCCACAGCAACATGACAGCGACTAAGATGCTTCACACAAACACCTTCCTCTCACATTCTCCCTTCTCTTTTATGCAGTGTTCTCATTTTCATGGTTCAAATACATATTTGGTGTCACTCTCCTCTTTCAGACCATAAGCTCTTGAGAAGAGAAAATTCATCCTCTGAGAAACAAATGTAATGAATGCTTCACTCTAGCAGGTGCCTAATATATTTTCATTTGCGTGGAAGCACAAATAGAATTAAAGTGGACCCATTTAAATACCCATCTTTTTTTTTTAATCAGACCTAGGAATTGGTGCAAACTATTAGAAGCAAAGGCCTATGTGCATTGCAGGAGGGTGAAAGAAGACCTGTTGGAAGTGTCAGGAGTAAACACGGATGCCTTTTTCTGGGCAGTGAAAGCGAAGTTCTTAATGGAAGATGATCCCAATCAATAGCACAAGACAGCTGATTTATATAATGGCCTCAAGCTGAAGTAGTGGTCTTTTCTCTGCATAGTGCTGCTGTGAAAGGGGAAAGGCCGCCGACCCGGGGACTCCACAAGTAGATCTGTGGCCATCTGTCAGAATTCATCAATATGTTCCTCCATCAGCGAGCCAGCGGAGAGCTCCCAGAGAGCAGCTTGCAGCCGGCCGGATGCTGAAAATGCCAAGGGGGTTAATACTAAGTTTGGGCTGCTGAGGTGGGGCTGCCACTGAGCAGGCACCCACTGTGGGGAGCCTGGCCTTTTGCTCCCAGTAAGAAGGTAAAGAGAGTGGGATATTGGAGGCTTGCACACCCAAAAGAGACATCTAAGCTGCAACAAGCAGCGGCAGCTCAAGGGAAAGTGTAAGCTTGAACCAAAACAAGAGCCAGGTGGAACCCGAGATGTCGTCGCTGGTGAAGGAGGACTTAGAGAAAAAACTGTTTAAGCCTCTAGCGCAGAATCTCTGCGAGTTTATTGAGATCGAGTTCTCGGTCCAGGACAGGTATTACCTCTGTGTGTCAGGTAAGCCGCACTTTCTGGTATCATTTCAAAAAGCAAAGTGATCAAAAGTAAATAAGGCATATAGGGGAATCGTGTCTGTCTTACCCAGCTCAGGCAGGCATGGATCTTCTTGAGTTAACTGGCCAGGACAAGGAATGTGTATTCTTCAGAACTTTAAAGTGCTAAGGTGAACAACAACAGCAAAAAAAATGTGTCAGACATTAATGGTTCAGAAGTGAAGCTGGCTCTGTCTTCTCTTGGTTTGATCGTTTTTTTTTCCCTCCAGTCTTTTATCTAATTTGCTTCACGGCACACAGTTTTGTTGTATAAAGGCTCATGTCGGTAGCATTCTGAATATGATTCAGTGCATGGGAGAATCGAGTTATACAGACAGCCATTCCCAACACCTTTCTGTGCTGCAGCAGAAACAGAACCTTAGACTTTTCCTCCGAGGACCTGCTGAGACTTCCTGCTGGTTACTTTGGAGAAAGAAATCCTCTTTAAAAACATTCTCTTACAGAAAAACAATACCTACACATCAAGAGTAAAATTAGTTCATGAAGATAGGACTTCACGAACCAGGGAACAATGTAGAGATCTGATATATAGAGTATTTAGTAAAATATTTCCTTTCTGCTTTTAAAATACATGAAAATTGTCCATGCTGCAGCTTTTGCATTAATTATGATCTTCCAGACCTTTTATGAATTTAGATAGAAACTTCTGTGTCGTTATTGAATTTGCTATGCAGCCCTCCCTTTTCCTGGCCCAAGCTCTATGTAACCTTCAGGGGCTTAGGAGAAAAAGAAATCAGAAACTCTAGGGTAGGTTGCAGATGTTCCTGCTGAACGCAAACAAACATTTCTTTTTTTTCTTTAATAACTGAAATTATATTTCACTTTATTGTAATTTCTGTTTTTTTCATTGCTTACTGTAATGATAAATGTTATTAAAATAATACAAAATAGTTTTTTTTTAATTATCTTCTTTTTTTCCTTTTTTCTCCTTTCTTCCTCAGATTTTTTTATTTGAATTAGAAAAAAGATTGTTTTACATGTCAATCCAGTTCCCTCTCCCTTTCCTCCTCTCCTACCCTCACCCCCAACTAAAACCCTACCTATCACATATCCTTTCTGCTCCCCCTGGATGGTGAGGCCTTCCATAGGGGTCATCAGAGTTTATCATATCCTTTGGGATAGGGCCTAAGCCCACCCCTATGTGTCTTGGCTCAGAGAGTAATCCTCTATGTGGAATGGGCTCCCAAAGTCCACACCTATGCTAGGGATAA